GTTTTTAGCATATATAGATATATAGATATATAGATAGATAGATAGATAGATAGATAGATAGATAGATAGATAGATAGATAGAGAGCAATAATGGCAATATGTTATGCATCAATACCAGCAACAGCTTTTCCAGGTTCTGCAGTTATTTGAACAAAATTGTAGAGACATCCAGCACACTCCATTTAAAAAAACAAAAAAGTAAAAAACAAAATCCCAGAAAACAGCACAGTTCTGTTACTCTTGTGGTAACTGGCACCATTTTTTTTTTTTAATTAGCTTCTCAGTCATCTGGAAGGAAACCATTCTGAGCAACATCGTTAAAAACAGCTCTGATAAGCACGGTCCCTACTATGTATCATAAAGCAGGTCCACATATGAGTGAGACATATCATGTTTGTCTTTTTGTGATTGGGCAAACCTACTTTTTAAAGAGCAGTTTATGGTTTTAAAATGAAGCCCTCTTCCTCTAACCTGTTGAGGTCATAGTTCAGGAAAGTCCTCTGTCTTTGAGTTGCTTAGCCTCTTAGTATGTTGAGAAAGACCTCATCCTTTAGCAACATGGAGGCCGAAGGAGCCTTTGAAGACTGGGGCCCAGCAGTCGCCCCAACTGGCATTTTCAGAGTTCAAATGGCCATGGCGGCCTGTGTGCTATCATTGCCCTATTGTGTTCTCTCTGTTAGAGCTAAATGTAATTACCAAATAATCGTTTCCAGTTGTCCATTGATTATTTATGCATGAAATACTGAATGAAAATTGGCCCCAAATGCTTCAGCCATGGAAAGACCCATTTTGGGGAGGCAAATGTATGTGCTCTCTCTTGGAGGTCATTTGAAAACAGATGCAGAGTGACCTTAAATGCTTCTGGTGACTCTCAGAGAACCTCGTCTCAGAATCACTGCAGGCCTGGTGTGAGCCTCAGTGAAGCAGAGAGGGGTAGGGTGGCATTTTAGGAGAGGGACCTGGAGTTTTCTTCTAGCTGTGCTTTCAGAAAGTGACATGGGGCAACATGGGCTCCAGGAAAAGGAACCATATTGGGCTTTTCTCTTCCTGGTTGATGACCTCTGAGAAACCATGACATCTGCTGCTCTCCCAAGGTGCTGAGCATCTCGGTGCCAGCCTCCATTTCATGAGGCATGTTTATTCTAAATAACTCAAGGTTTCCTTCCATGTTAGGGATAGATTCTTAGGCAAAGCTACCTTCATTTAAAGTTCCTGCAAACAAAAATGATGCTCGTTAAAATATTAGTTATTTATATTGTACGTTCACATAGACTCTTACAAGGGCCAAAATTTGCTTTTATTGTTCCTTAGCCCAGAAAGGGTGCCTGTCCTTGTCTTTGTCTCCAGCCATGTTGCCTGTAGGAAAATATTGAGTAACAAGGTTAAAAAATGGTCAGCCAGCCCAGGAAGAGGTCAAGGGTCTTTGACTCTCATTGCTTAAACGAACTTAATTGAAATTTTAAACAAAGCTAAAAATAGATTTGTCTAGCCTGCTTTTTGTATAAAAGGACAGTCGCTGCTTTCCAAGTAGCTAAAATCAGTGGCTCACAGTTACATATGTAAGCAAATGCTATGACCCTTTGCCGTTGTCTCCATCTAAACTGTGTGAGATACCAAAGCGGGCAGGGGCAGCTCACGCCACACCATGGTAGCTGCCCGTGACCTCTGTGACCACCTCAGTGCTGTTTGCTTGATTTCAAGACAGTTCCTATGTCAGTAGGCAGCAATCCAGGCCCAGCCTGAGTTCTGTGGTCTTTCACGTTCTCTCAAAGTCAGTTGGCCACCATGCTCGTCCTTCTAAGTTCTTCAGAGGACGCCCATTCCCTGTCTCACGGCGAGCTCTGTAGCCAGAGCGCTAGAGCTTGCTTCTAGCCAGCTTGCCTGCTCTCAGTGTCTCTTTGCTTCCGCTACCAATAGGCTTCGGGGGACCATTGAGTGTGTCAGGTCTCTTGATAACAACCCTCATCCAGTCTACAGTGGCAGTTGGCAGAATAAAATCCTCTGTCTGTCACCACCACAAGTGTCTGTTTGCAATGCTATGGGCAAGACTCGGTGCAAGGTGCTTTAGGAAGGACAAACAGCCACCCTGCTGGTTTTACATTTTTCCTTGATTAGCTTGTGATTAGCCTGGACGGCAGGCATTGTACTTGTTATCCATGAATGTACAGGGCCAATCAAGTTTCTAATCACATTCCTTATTCTATATTTCCAGTCTATATAGTTCTGCCAGGTGTACAACTTGGAAAACCATGGTCATAGTCCTCCCCAGGTTGCTGATGAGGCCTCTGATTTTTCAAAAAACTAGGGTTCTTTTTAGAATTCACATGTTATATAAAATTATTGCTTCAATCTTAATCCAAGGTACAGTTTACTGCATAACTACCTAATAGCTGGCACTGTATCAAACCCTTGGCATTTGCAACATGGTAAGAAAGACTTCAGGGTGCGGGGGGGGGGGGCATCACCATGGACAAAGCTGGGTTTATTATCATGCTGCAGCAAGAGAGGATGTATGTCCTGGGGTGCTGTGGACTTGGGAAGAACACGGGCGGTTTCCAGGACTGCACAGTCAGAATCTGCACACTAGGAAGTTTCTGCAACTACCAGAGGTCTCCTCTTTAGGATACGTACCTGTGCAGAGCTGTGGTTGGGTTTTACTGCCGTCATGCCGAGAGCCAGCGAGCCCGTCTGAGCCAGCTGGTGTTCATCTCACATGCCGTGGTTTGTACAGTTGTCTGTGTTGTGAGTCATGGTTTTACGAGCTGTGGCTTTTGCTTAAGTTCCAGGTCCCCTTTCACGGGCTGCCTATCAGCTGAGCTTGCTTTACTATAAAAGTAGAAGAAGTCAAGACAGCGTCTCTGCAGGGAATTCCCTGTTTAGGCTATCGTTGTTCAGCATGTGTTGTAATAGAGTTAAGAACAGGTTTTCCCTTGTTCTTAGTTTTTAACATGTCATTTTGTTTTTGTTTCTCTTGCCTCAGAGACACAGTCACATTTAGCTCAGGCTGGCTTTGAGTTTTCTGTGTAGCTAAGGCTGGCCTTGGTCTCTTGATCCCTTCCTTCTGTTTCTATCTTCCGAGTGCTGGGATTAGAGGTTTGTGGCACCATATCTGACTAAGCATACCGTTTTGTTGAAATTCTAAGATATATATGTTTCTATATGCATTATACACTAAGCAAATCACATACATTATTTTATTTAATTCCAACTATAGGAAGTAGGTGACGTTTTTCTTACTCTTATTTTCAAGTAAAGAAACTGAGAGGCAAAAAAGGTTGAATAAGCATTCTTAGTCACCCTGCCAATACACCAGGGCCTTGGACTTTATTAGACAAACATTTATTGGGCACTCTCCTAGAGCTCTCCCTAATCTGAAAAATAAACCTTGGAAGTAGCTGTTACCCGAGGAGGGAACTGAGACCTAGGAATGTGAGCTCACTAAGCTAGTGGAGTGACCCATGGCAGAGGAGGGTCTGGAGTGCGGCAATGAGGTCCTGAGCAGCTTTCCTGATCTCTTCAGCCTGTCCTGAGCAGTCTGGCCCCCACACTGTGTTGTTAACCACCGAACAGCTCAGCAGCAGAGAAGAGTCGGGAGTGTTGACATGTAAGCTGAGACTTGGCAGATATATGGGATTATTTCCTTATGGATCATGCAAACCAGGCTCTGAGATTCCCCCCAAGGAGCAGGGGGCCTTGAGGAACCAGAGTGGCGCTGCCGGGCCAGGGAACAATGGGAATGGGGCTCTGAATGCAGAAAATGGAGAAACAGTAGGTGGCAACCAATAGAGCTGGGGCCAGGAATGAAAGCCAGCCTGGGGGACTTCATTCTTCATGTGTGACCAAAAGGATGCCCATCTCAGTACCGCAAATGATCCATGAGTAAAAGGGACCGGCAAGGACATTCGTTGATGCTGAAGGCAGTTCCAGAGAAGTTCTGAGCACGTAGGAAACAAAGAAACCTTTAGAGAAGTAATGCTGTTGGAGACAGTCCTGGAGCCATTGCTTTGAAGAGTACAGCACTCACGCTAATGTCTATGTCCCCGTGGCTACTGTCAGTCAGTCCCGAGTCTGAAAGAATCTCTTTGTTTGTGGAGTGCTGGGGGCAGTTTGCTTTTAGCATTTCACCTCAACGTTAGAAGGCAGACGCCATCCATTCCCTATTATGTAAACAAGAACACGCACTCGGAGGACCCAATGGTCAGTGGTAGAGCCATGGCTTCCAACTGGTTTGATTCTCTTGTGTTTCTGTTAGTTGTATTTCTTCAAGAAGTTTGTATCCTCTGGCTTAGGAGATGCAAAATGCCTCAAACACACAGCCATCTTATGTCCTAAAGAGGCTGGGGTAACAGTGGGACTAAGAGGAGACAAGGTTTCCGAGCTGGCTTATCCCTTCCCAGTGCTGGGTCAGGATCACCCTTTTCTGATTGCTCCCCACCATGGAGCTTCCAGGCTTAAAATAGTCATTTCACCAACGAGTAGTGCTCCTTAGACATCAAGTGGTGCTCCCAGGGCGGCAGACTGAAGTCACTGATCCCTGCCGCTGGACGGTGTTCTTCCTGGGGACACCGGTTCATTAGCCAATTAGCAGTTAACTTTGTGCTGTACTTCCCAGTTCACGTATTTAACTGCAAACAGGCGCCGCCATTAGGAGGTGCAGTCACTCAAAGGTCTCTGCTGACTGGGGGCTAGTGATCAACTTTGCTGATTTAGGGGTGTGGCATCCCAAGTACTTGCTGATGCAGAGAAAAGGGTGGGGTAATGCACATGGATGGTGGATCCTTGAAGCAAAGGGATGGTTTGTTGTTGTTGTTTTCTCTGTAGAATGCACGTATAGATTGTCTTACTTTATGATTCTAAAAACGAATTTTTCCCACTGTTGTCAACCACAGGTAGAGTGGCTAGCAAGAGCCTGAGCGGAAGAGTAAAGCCACCTTGGATGGTCCTTGGTAAGTTCCTTAAATTTTCTGCACCTAACTTTGTTTCTCTCGTCCTCTCGTGTGTGTGTGTGTGTGTGTGTGTGTGTGTGTGTGTGTGTGTGCTGCAGTGAGTTCTGGGATTGAACTTAATTCATCAGGCTTGGTGGCAAATGGCTGTCCAATAAGTCATCTCAATAGCCCCAGATTCTAGCTTCCCAATACTTTTAATAATGGAAATTCATAATTTCACTTGACCTTGAAAAAACGATTACATTTCTATATAAGAGAGCTTAACTGTATGTGATCAGGGCAAGAAGGGGCATAAGAACGAGTCAGTTGGTCATTGGGCTAGAATCAGCCATCATGTCTGCCTGTCGGTCTCACTCCAGTGAAGGATGGTCCCTGGCCACACTCACTGCCCAGACGCCTCAGTTCTTAGTGGCCTCATTATGTAGGCATCTTGCCATGTGGGGCTTTAATATCTACATATATCATGACTCACGAGCCAGCTACGTTAGCAAGTTCTCATCCCTCAACATCGGGATCCAGTCCGGTACCTGAATGGAAACACAGAGCAGTGCCGCAAACTGTTGACAAAAGGTACAGCAAGTCCCCATGAGACTGCCGTCGATGGGTTTCTAAACGAGAGGCCTCCCTTGCGTAGGATGGTGTTTGGTGGTGGTGTGTAATAGGTCTGGGCTTCCTGGGGCTCCTGCCTCAGCCAGAGAGAGCCTGTGCAAATCCCTGCAGGGTGTTCCTTTCTGCTGTTTGCTCACTGCCTGGGTCCCCCTCTGCACGAGCTGCTGTACTGGACTCATGGCCATGTCTCTTTAAGGTCCCATTCTGCTTACTTCTCTCTATTGGCATCAGCAATCTGTGCCTCTCTTGCCCCCCCCCCCCCAACCTCCCAGGATCCTCCCTGTCTGAGAAGGGAGCTCAGGAACACGCGTGAAACACAGATAACCAAAGTCCTGCACATTCCAGAATCAGGTCTTGTTTTCCCGAAACTTTATTGAGAGAATTTCAAGGCCAGTGTGTTTTGTATCGGTGGGGCTGCCTTTGGGGATAGGTCAAGGCTGGTTTTTCCTTTCAAGTCCAATATGTGACACAAGAGGCCTCGTAGTTCTGAGTAGACTGGGGATGTCTCTGGGATCAGTGGAGAATGCATGGTGATATTGCTTGTCTGTGACAGGGGCGTCAACGTGCAGTTTCTCTAGCTTGCTGTCTTAGGCTAGGGCAGGGTTTGGGAGAATTTGAGGAGATGGGCATTTTGTATAAAAATAGGATGCTAACCATTCCATGTTTCTCAAAGATGACTCAGCTTGCCCTTTTCCATTAAAAAAAAAAAAATCACCAAACATGTCTTCCTTTCTGCATAAGCTCTTTTCTGCCACTGCCGTGAAAGGGGATGAACTCAAGCCAAGCTAGATGGCAGGAAGAAACTATCGTTGCCAAGAGAGAAATAATCAAAAAGGCAAGGTTAGCATTTGCCCCTGGTGGGCAGCCATGGGATGTTGGTGTTGTGTCTGCTGTCTGTCCATGTTTGTCTTTATCTGGTGGGATGGTTGCTGTTGGCTCTGCTAAGAAACAGTTGTTTACCCTAGTTCCATGGTGTTTGAGAGAGTATGGATTAGAAATAAGAATATTGACATCTGGAGATGTTAGACCCCCGAAAACTCAAGTATCCGGTCCCAGGCCACGTTCTCGGTCACCCCAATCACCAGGCGGATTCGAGAGCTTGCTGCAAACTGCACGAGGCTTTATTGTAATTTAACGAGCTCCCCCCATGTTAGCTTGGGTCTTTCACCCACCCGCCT